AACCACTATCCAAAAACCAAATGTTCTCATTTTCTCCCAGATTCTACAATCACTCACAAGTTAGTACACTTTGGTACCCAAAACGTTCTATATACAACAAGTTTTCTTAAATCATAGCAGAATTTTGACAAATGACCTTGTCTTTTATAGTGAGAACATGTGTAAATGATAGGATAGTTTCTAACAATTTTGATTCCAGAGTGCTCACTTTGGAATTTATTTTTTTCTTTTATATGCAGTTTCGACTTCTTTTTGACAGTTTCTCTTAGAGACAGTATGCCTTGGAGCCGTTTTTAATGACTGACTCTTACATAACAAGGTAAGTTTCTGATTTTCATCTATTATATCAAAGATTTTTTTATTTAGTTTATTTTGACACTCATTTTGAAACGTTATGGTCCTGTTAAGAGTATATATTTCTTTTTCATGGTTTGATTGTCTGTCATGAGCAAACAATACTTGCTCTTAAACCTATCACAATCACTTTGAAGATTAGCTAAGGCATGCAAGAAATTGGTATTTGACTTGAAATGATTGCCCTTTTTGGATTCACTGTCATTAATTACCTGGTAGCTGGAGGGAAAAGTCTGATCATCACCGCAGGAGGAATCAGAATCACTTTCTTTCCTTGAAGCAAATGCCATGTAGGCCAGATTCTTGACTTCTTCTTCTTCTTTTTCTGAGCTGAAGTCACTCCACGATGTTGCTAGAGCCTTCTCTTTTGTTTTAATGTTTAAAGGGCATCTGGAGCGCATGTGACCTGTCTTTCCACACTTGTAACAAATTGTTAGATATTTTTCATCAGGAGACCTCTGGTCTCCCTTATACCTTTCCCTACCTTCTGAACCCTTATCAGTAGAGTTTTGATTATTTCTGTCAGAATGATATTTGTTTGAAAGACTTCTATCTGAGTATTTTGAAGGAAGTCTTTCCTCTCTGTCTCTCCTATATTCAAAAGGTCGATTTTCAAGGTTTCTTGTGTCATGATAGGCCCTATTTGCTTGAAATTCTCTTTTCATTTTTAACATTCAATGGAATTTTCTGCTAACAAGAGCAAATTCTCTTTCAAACTCTTTTCTTATATCATAGTCAAGGTCACTATCATATTCTTGAGCTTTAAAAGCTATTACCTTTTTACGCCTATTGTCTTCTTTGTTCATTTGTGTGATTACTTCTTCATGATTTAGGAGTGAGCCAACCAATCTTTCAATCGACAGTGTGTTTAAGTCTTTTGCTTCTTCTATGGCAGTTCTTTTAGGAAACCATTCCCTAGGAAGACTTCTTAGAACTTTTCTAACTAGATCCTTTGTAGCAAACACCTTTCCTAAACCTGTTAATCTGTTTATTAGATCATTAAATCTCTTATACATGCTAGATATGGATTCTCCTGAGCTCATTTCAAATTATTCATATTCATCTAAGATAACATCAATTCGACTTTCTTTTACCTCTGACGTACCTTCATGATTGGTTTGGAGTGATTCCCAAATCTCCTTGGCAGACTCGCATTGCGCCACTTGATTCCTTTCCTCAGGGCAAAGAGCAGAGAAGAGAATATGCATTGCTCTTGAGTCCAGTTGTGATGATACCTTCTGTTCATCTTCCCACTTTTCTTCATCATCATCATCCATAGGGAGAGATCCTTTTCGAACTATTGCCCAAAGATCTCCATCAACTCCCCTCAGGTAAATCTTCATCCTCGTTTTCCAGACAGTGTAGTCTGTGTCGTCAAACCATGGAGGATTAGTATTGGCTGAGTATGATGCAGATGTTGACGAAGAGCCAGCCATCTTGTAGATCTTTTTCTTTGGTGATAGTTAATCCCTCAAAGACCCTGCTCTAATACAAATTGTGAATTAGCAGGTGGATCAAAACTTATTTCAGTGACTCAAACTTGTCCTACTACGAACTCACTGACTTGAAAAGAAGTTCGTTTTATTGACTGATAAACAAGTACATATTACAAATGAAAGAACCCTAGCCAAGCCAAACAAGTTGGCTCTTTGAACACAGAAACGAAACCAAGTAACGACTTCCCAATCCTTAATTCACCCAGCTCACTCACACACAGTGAATTAAGGAACTGAAGCAGAAACACGAAAGGACCCACGATAGAAGAGACTCTCTACCCACTCTCTTTCTACAGACTGTCAAATTGTAATGTTAGGTCAAATACATTATTTATACAAGGAAAGGAAATTACTGTTTGCTAAGGATGATGATCATGGCAATGATCATCATTAGCTTTTGTAGAGGCGGTGGCGATCCTGGAGAAGGAAGAGAGAGGCAGGCTTGAGGAAGGCAAGCTTCGAGGAAGATGACTCTATTTGCCCGAGAGAGAGAGAGAGAGAATACAAAATGGAGATCTCTGCACGAAGAGCTTGTGCAGTAGTTTGGTTTGCTGAGACTTTGAAGGACGATATCATAATGACGTCGTTAGTATGGATGTTGTGTTTTGGTACAAAACGGCGGCGTTGCAATTTCTTCAGGAAGGCGTCAACATCCAACACTTTGTGCCTACTATCTAGGTTAGAGACGAGCATCCCCCTTGACTCAAGTTTGCATCTAGGTTGGTTGCGATAAGCGGCTCAAACTCCATTGTGAGGGAGAGATCTAGGTAACCACTAGAGACTGAGTGAGAGGATCGATTCTGTGACAAATCGATCTCTAGTGAATCCATCCCGTGACAAATGGATCACTAGTTGCTCCTCCTAGCGGTTTCCCTAGACTTGGCGAGTGGATCGATCTCGTGACAAATCGATCACTGGTGATTTGATTTCGTGACAAATCGATCACTAGTTGCTCACCCCCGTGATTCACAACCACCTACGCCACACGACTCCATTCAATCCAACGAGTCATGGTAGCTAGTTAGGGGGAAGCAACTCCCGTGTGAAGCTCCCCTAGTGAGAATTTTCCTTTATTTACTTTTCTTTGCTTGTTTCATTTGTAGTTTTCTTAGTTTAAAAACCCGAAATCGTTTTGCTAGATAACAACTTAAGTGATTGAAGTAGAGGTACATGGATCGGCACGGGTTGACAATTTAAATACTTGCTCTATATGTCACTGAACTAGCTACATACTAGGGGAATCATACATTGATGACCATTAGCATACTTGAAAATCCAGAACATTTCCTGCTTTCTATTTAATTTGCATTTGAACAACTCACTACACTTTAGTTGCTAGATAATAGAAATTTACAGAGAAGGCAGTAGATCTAGACCCCAGGTTGATAAGTAAAACTTACCCACTATTCTGCATTTCCATTCTACGATTACACTTGGTCGTGTTTTAGCGAGTCAGCGGACCCTCTTCTTCCTCACTGAGCCGACATACTAGGAACTGGTATGGGAGATTTACTCCACCTTCCACCACTTGCCACGACGTGCGGGCAAGCACGCCAACGCCATCCATTCCAATCTAGGTGGCGAGGTGCATTCCTCAGCTATGATAATTTTTCCCGAGCAATGGACCTCCTTCATCTTCAGGCATGCAACCTTGCCATAGAGGAGGCTGATTCTCTTTCCTTTCGGGAGTCACAACTGTCCTTCCAGGGTCGAGGTCGCATTCGCTTTTTGGGAGTCTCCATCCATCTTACTAGGAGTGGATTGAACACTCTTCTGTCGGCTTTGACCTTAGAGTCAGAACTGAGACTTGGTCTGCAATTAAGGGATATGGGTTCGGGAGTACGATTACCTGTGGGGAAGTGAAATCACACCCCACAACGCCCAAAATTGGTACTACTTAAGTTGATAAGTGTTTATATTAGTTGGTTGTATTTTAGTAATTATGTATTTTTTAAAAATCTCAATGGACCATTACTATATTGCTATTTCATTAGTTATAATTTAACTAAACGTCCATTGACGTATTAGTTTATGATTAGGTATTTTAGGTACTTTTGGGGCCTTACTGGACCACAAAAGAATTTAAATCGTATTAGTTATAATTTAATTATACGCGCACTAACGTAAAAATTGAAGATAAAATTGATTAGTTAGTTGGACTCGAACCTTATCGGTTGCCTACGTACTCGTAGACGGGATCAAAGTCCACGTAGTTTGTTGGGTAACCTTGATAGTTTTAAAATATGACTTTTATCACGTTACACTTATATTGGTTCTTGTATTAGGGATTTTGTTAACTTTGATAGTTTTGGTTATGACTTTTACCACGTTCCACTGAATGCAATTCTCGTATTATAATTTTGTTAATAAAATTTTATTTAGATTATTACGATGTTACGAAATAAAATGCAAGGATTTTAGTTATTAAGAAGAAGTTTGATGTATTAGAAAAGAGGCAAAATAAACTTAATCCTCATTTGAAATTTTGTACTAAAGAACCAAACTAAACAAAATGATCAAATTTACGCATGATGGGCCAGCAGCCCAACCGGTTAAGTTGCTGCTTGGAGTGCGAACTCGGTCACTAAAATTTTGTGATCGTTGTTTTTAGTTCAGAGAAGGGGAGGGTATTTTCGTAAATCCTCAAAAACACGTGGCAAGGCCACGTAAATTATAAGAAACCCTAGGGGCAAAATCGTCACTTAAACTGCCGAGGTATATAAGCTTCTTTAACACTCTATTCATTTACAAGGGAAAAGAAGGGGAGAGAAAAGTGTGTAGGAAAACACAATTTCCAAGGCACTTCACCCTGTTTTTTAAAGTAAAGGAGAGGGGAGGTGAGGGAAAATGTGTCTCCTTTCTACTGTAGAAGCCTACACCCCAATTTGGGAAGAAATGAGAGGAAACACCAATTGAACTTTTTTTTTTTTTCCTTTTGTTTATTAATTTAACAAACCACTCCTTCACACTTTTTATTTCTACGACACTTCTTCCCAAAACAAACTTGGTTGATTTAATTATTCACCTATTATTGTAAACATTATTAACTGATTTGGGTTCGGATTTTACCCGTACCCACTAAAAATTTAGGTTTACGCAATACATTAAATTGTTACGTGAGATATAAAAGTGTGTTCATTCCTAATAAAAATGACATTAAAGTATGAAATTGTTTTATCCACTATTCATAAGTAATGAAAATAATATCAACAAATAATTAAATTATTTACAATTACATTAATTATCACACTTCGCCATATACTTTTTCTCTCCCACTTTCCTCCATAAAACAACATTTTCCTTCCACTCTAAACTTTCTCTCCTTTTCTTTTCCCTCCCCTCCAAATGTTCCTTCCCCTTCATTTTCCTCTCTTCCTTCGGGAACAGAGTGTAAGAAAACGCTAATCTAACCTAGAGCTAAACGCCGCCCCAACCCTCTCGATTCTTCCTCTCGTTTTGGCTTCTTCGAACCAGAGACCCCTCTGGTTTCTCGTCGCCGCCATCTCCTCTTCTTTCCCCTCGCGTTCTCTCCGTCTCTCTCTAAACCGAGAGGGAAGGCAGTACAAACCTTCCCCTCTGCTCGGTCCTACTTCTCTCCCTTTCATTATTTATGGAAACGAAGGAGAAAATGAGGGAGGGTATCGCCGACGGCGACTGAAGACATACGCCGCCGACGATGACAACGATGGCGACAAGGCTGAAATTAAAGTTTCATTTTTGTTTGGATGTACGATTTTTACCATTTTCAGGTTCCGATTTTATGGTTTTTGAGATTCTAATCCTTATTTCTTGTTTTTATTTCCGGAAAGCCGACCCAAAGCCGAGAGGAACTCTCGATTTGCCTTTCTAGATGGAGCGTCGATGGCGGTGAGAAGGTCTTACCCTCTGGTAAGCATTCGGAAAAGAGAAATGGAAGCTGCTAGCGGCGCGGCCCTTGCTAGAATCCGACGGTAGGGTGCTGAGTTTCTTTTGCCTTTTTTTGTTATTATGGGTTTTGGTTTATTATTACTATTTTGGGATTCTAATTCTTGGTTTCCTTGATTTTGCAGATCTCTACAATTTGAAGAGACACTAGGTGATATCTTTCTAAACTAAAACTAGATTGTTGGTTATTGTAGCTATGGTTTTGTCTGTGGTATTAAGAAACCAAAGTTTTGGTTCGTACCTCAGCTGGGCTCATTCGGCTTTAATATTTGGTTTTGGATCTATTGAAAAACGAAAGCTTGCTTTATTAAATTTTAATGTCTATAATGATCCTAGTGTAATCCGAGGTCAAAGCTACTGCTTATGACCACCATATTGATGAGAAGCTTTCTTCTAAAATTGGGATTTGGTTATATAATAAATTAAAAAAAAAACTGATACGAATTGGTAAAATCTGAAATTTTCAATAGCAGCAAGGCTTTTATGGGGTTAGGCATGCAAGGATATAACCACTAAAAAGAGAACTTGTAATTCCCAAAGGTTGGTAATTGGGTCGAAAGGGGGTGCCCTTAAACGCAAAAAAGGTATTTTAAAATACTCTCCCAAGGGTTTGATTTGAATTCTTTTTTTCTTTTGAATGGATTGTTGAATTATTGGTACGTTTGAAAGAGTAAATGAACTATCCTAGTTGATTATGGCACTAAGTTTAGCTAGCAACTTAGCAAGAATTATGCTTGCTAGAAAACTGAAAGAAATTTAAACTGATTCATAGGATGTGGGTGATAAAAAGACAAGTTGTCTATCGTAGCATAAAACAAAAGAAATGGATGGCGTGAAGAGGCATACATGTCACAAAAATCAGAATTTTGTAATTGCCCACTTTACATACAGATTTAAGCAAACTACCTATGGATTATGAACTTAGAAGCATCATCATCTACAATCATATTAAAAGTCTTTTCTACATGGACATATGGATGAATACATGCTTGTATAATTGGTGGGGTGAATAAACACCAACCTGTTTTCTATGCTGTTTGATGGTAGTACCGTTGACCTCTTGTTGTCTACTTCTTTAGTGGTCCTTAATGCTTTCTGTCTGCCTTCTTTAGTGTCTTTATGCTCTTGCTAATTCCCCAAATTTACTGTGTGCTAATGCTCTCTGTTTTTTCTTGTTTCCCTCTGCCTCCCTTATGTTCGAGGTAAGAAACCTCTTATATATTCCCCTTTTACTGTAGCTTTCTTTTGTGCTGGCTAATTATTATTTGTTCTTGAATTGGTGGATTGATCCATCCCTTGTGATGGCAAAATTGTGTTGGTCTTTGGAGGAGGTGGCCATTTTGTTGTTTTTGAGAGAATGGCAGTAAAAATCTACTGCCTCTTTAGATGTGATATGGATTTGCTGCCTCTTGGGATGTGATATGGACAATGGGATCGGTTGAGTGGGTCGACCAAAGTTGATTGTGTCGATCAGAATTGACCGGGTCAACCATTGTTGATTTTTGTTGACCAGAGTTGACCCGGTTGGACTGGATTAGACTGGGCTGAAATTATCGGCCTGAATTGTGAGCTGTTGTTTTAGGCTACTTTTTTTTTTTTTTTTTTGCAGGTCCTTGGTATTTTCTGGCCGAAGATGATCTGTGGAGACCAAAAAGCCTCCTGATTGGTGCCCAAAAATGGAAGAAATCTTTTCTTTTTATTTATTCTTAATTTCTTATTTGTTCATCTTTTAAATGTAATAATTATTAAGTGTATATTTGTACTTTGTAATTACGCATGCAATTATTGTTGTTACTTATCATTAGAATGATGATATAATTATTGAAATGTATGACCCAAACATTCAATTGATTCTTCCCAACCCAATTTGGTTGCTTTTTCTCCAATCGTAACTCAAATCCCAACTTCTAAGTAAGTAGTTCCTAACTATGAATTTTGACCAATATTGGTAAGATTGCCATTGTCCTCCTATCACATTCGACTAATTTTAAACCTATGCCACCAATCGTTAACCGAATATGGTAATATTAGTATAGGTTGTGATGGCATACTACTGCTGTTCTAAATAAAGTGAATTTGATATCTGTTAGCCACTACTAATCTTACCTAGTACAAATATTAGAACTAAATAAAAAGTGAACGTGGAAATCGTTGGTACTTATTGATTTGCCACTGCTAATCTCAACCAACCTCGTCCAAACTTTCACTTCAATTCCCTTTTCAAGTTTTTGGCCGAGTGGTTGTTCCGGACAAAATGTGGTGTCTACATCGGGACCAACCATTCTTCAACAGGATGCCTCCCCGATGCAGCCGACATCGTGTATCTGCCTAGCCAGATGAGGGCTAGTCTCCTCCGTCCTGAGTTGCTCATTCTCAACCAGCTATTGGCCTAGTCATACACTCCCAGTAGGGGCTCCATCAATCACCTCACTCTCCGGAAAGAGTATTTCCTGCACTCAATGAGCAAGGAAGAGGACAATCTGCACTTGGACTCTGTCCTTACCAAGAAGTTCACCAAGGCTTCTGGTTGTGACCCCGTCAATCGCCTCACTCTCCGGACACTGTACTTCCTGCACTCGATGAGCAAAGAGGAGGACAATCTGCACTTGGCCTCTGCCCTTGCTAGGACGTTCACTAAGGCTTCTATTTGCGACCTCCCGCTTGCATGTGGGTCGGTGATCAATGCTTTGGCCCGATACTTTGAGGTATATCTCACCGACATGACCATGATCCAGACACCTACTCCCCTAGGCGAGTTGACTCTAGGGCACCATCTCTTACTTACTCGCTACGGGCACCAGATGTGGATCAAAAGGATTCCTTGCCCTACTGCACCTATTCCCGATGCGGCCGAACCCCCTGAGGCGAGCTATACTAGAGCTCTACATGGGCTCCGTCGTCCAGTCTGTCGTACCTAGCCGCCCGCCGACACCTCTACCGCTACCCCATCCAGCTCTTCTGCCGAGCCTTTTGCCGCCCCCACATAAAACCCAAATTAGTGTTATTTAACCCTCATATCAAGGTTTGTTTCGTGCCAATTCATGTGCATAATTGCTTGAACATTATCTATTGTATCCCTTTTCGTTCCTATTTGAATTTGATGTGATTTTAGGTTGTATTAGACTATATATGCAAATTAGGTACAAAATAAGGTCACAAGTGTAGCAAGTGGGCAGGAAGCTGAAGATCGTGACCTGGAAGCTAAAAATCAGGGTCGGGAACATAGATTGTGAAATCATGCTAAAGATCGCGGCCCAAAAGCCCCAAATCACGACCGCAAATTGGAGGGCTCAGGGCGCAAACTTCATGTGGAAAAAGACAGGGAGAAACATAGACTTTCTCTAGTCCAATCACAGCCACAACATTATTTAACCGCGAGGAAGATCGCAGCTATGACTCGTGGATCGCTACTGCGAAGTTAGCCCGCGATCTCCTCATTTTTAAAGGCCAGGACGATGCCGTTTCAAGATCGCAACTTCTCTTCTGAAGATCATGACCGAGACCTTCGTGCTTCTAGCCAGGACGATGCCGTATTTTTACCATAGTTAATGAGTTCGTATTAACCACCGTATATTATATGGTGGTAAGGTTACGGTAGTCATAAGTACTTTTTCCTGTAGTGGAAACTGGAGCAAAGGATGCAGGGGTACCTCTGGTGTGCCATATCGAATCTCCAACTCGCTATCAATCTCCCACACCTTGGCTCCATGTGGCAGATGTCCACTCATGCTCCTCAATCTCCCGATATCTAATGATAGCCTTCTTCTGTTGTTGTTGGAGGATTTTAGAGCAAAGAGAACTTGAGAACTCGACTCCCTTGAAGTCTTCTCCTCCTCTATCACGATCACCGACTCCCTCATTTTGAGTCGTGCAGACCATCGATGTGTTACATGCTCTAGCTCCACTTAAGATGGAATAGGATGTCGTGGTCCTCGTGAATAAGAAGTGCCATCATCTCCCTTCTTGTTGGGCTTTGCTATCCATTTGGGAATTGGGTTCTTCATTCCTGCGTTGATAGAAAATAAGCCAAATGAAATTGGTAATAAAGCATAACCCCACACTTTAAGAGAGTGGCTTCTTCTATAAACTAATATGATAACTTCTCAAGTACTTACTAACAAGATAGTACTTCTACCACATTATATTTCTGACTCGATCTAACAACACATCCCAATCACCGGCCAAGTATAATCGGCAACCGGGTGTAGCATAGGGCAAGCAATCAATAATAATTTATCGTACCACGGGTATCTAGGCTTACCCTACTTCACTTTTAGGGTTCGTTATCTAGCCAACCTAGGATAGTGATTAACAAACTAAACTAACTAACCTAGAGTAACCACTAACCTAGATATTTACAAGGTTGGGAGCTCTCCTGGGTTAAATCCCCCTATTTCTAACCTTTGGATCGATGTTGAGTACTATCCTAACTCGATCGATTCACTATCCTATCGTTATGAGATTGACTCACTCGGGACGAACCCGGAACGGCGAAGTGATGGATGGGTAGGAGCTCTATTCAACCTAGGGTTTCATATATTTCTAGGAGACCAATGGAATCAACTCCTTCGGGGATTACCCCGACAATATACGATAGGAGTGACCCAAAGACGCCAATAGAGGGCTCTAAGGAGATTTTCTCCCTCCTATGTCGAAGCTCAATTGACAAGTCAAGGAATCCAAACTCATTCAATCCTTACCAAACATCCATCAAATAAATAAATTCATCAATCAAAGATAGAATTTGTCACATACACCAACAATGAAACAAAATCTAGACCTAGGGTTCTTAAACCCAAGTGAAGGGATGAGTTTCTAGAGAGAGAAGAGAGAGATTACAAATTGGAGCCCAAGATCTTATTCTTCTTCTTCTAGGCTCGATTCCTTGCTTCCAAGATTGATCAATGCCTTCAATTAAGCTCCAATATCACTCAAGAACTCAGTCTCTCTCTCTAGAACTCTCCTTTGGTGTTTTGGGTCAAAACCCCTGGAGAAAGAAACTATTTCCTCCCCACAAACCAGCTCTTCTTTTCTTCCTTCTGCTGCTTCCTTTTATACCCAGATCAAAGGTTGTTCACGGTCTAAGTTCAAGGTCGTGAACTCAAAGCCTGGACCGTGATCTCGGCCAGAAATGCGCCGTTTCACTACAGCACTTCACAGTATGGAGCTGAAGTTCACGGTCTTACGACCGTGAACTGACTTGGTGCCAGCAACTTGTAGAAACACTCTGGAACCTGGCCAGTTCACAGTTTGGACATTTTTTTCACTTTTTCGCTCTTTTCAAGCTCCAATCGACCCGAAACTCGTCATCGGCCTTCCCACAAGTGTAGGACTTGAAATATAACAAAACAAGCACACCCTAGCGTAAAATAGGTCGAGAGATAATGAAATGCAAAGTCAAACTATCAAGAAATGAGGGGTAAAATGGGTGCATTTAGACCCGAATCAATTTCATTTAAGAACATGTAAAGATATGAAATATTCATATTCAAATGTAGAAGTAGCATGAAATAATTATCTTTCCTCCATTGTGGAAAATGTCGTGGTTGGTACTTGAGCACCAATCACACGCCATTACCGGCCTCTTCCCATGTTTCTTATCCACTAGGAGTGCATCAATCAACCGATCAATCTTACCATCAAGCGGGGCACTTGCTCCTACACTTTGCACTCCTCTTGTGATGCTTCTCTTTCGGCTTCTCGTCAAATCCCAATCACACCCTTTACTTGCCATGTCTTCAAGCAACTCAGTCACTTGGGGTGGAGTCATGTTCATCAATTTTCTATGACGTAAGGAGTCAATGAGGATCTTGTCGTTTTGGTCGAGACCGCCATAGAATGTCTCAATCCGGAATTTCTCCTCGAATCCATGATGTGGGCATTGGAGGAAGAAGTCATAGTACATTTCCCAAGCATCCCTCAATATCTCATCTTCCGCTTGCTCAAAGTGGGTGATCTTCTTGCGCCACTCCGCCATCTTTGAAGGTGGGCAATATCGAGTCATAAACTTGTTGAGAATGTCATCCCACGAGGTGATCGAGAGAGTCGGTCTATTGTTGAGCAACCGAGACACATTCCCCGCAAGAGAGTAGGGGGAAAGCCTCAACTTCAAAGCATCCTTGGGAACCCCATTGATCTTCAAACTCCCCGCAAGTTTGATAAACTTCTGAACATGCTCCCTTGGAGACTCATTGCTAACCCAATGAAACAGGGCATTGTTTTGGGTTATGGTGACAAGGGCGGGATTGATCTCAAAATTTTTGGCGGCCACGGGCGAATATGGAATGGCGGGTTGAATATTCGCCGCCCTTGGGGCCATATAGTAGCCCATGGTCCTTGGTTGCTCCTCTGCGGCCTTCCTCTTCGGAATAAAACCCTTCCTCAACTACAACTTCCTCTTCTATCCTCCTTTTTGCCTCCGCCAGTTCCCTCTCACGAGCCAAGAGTCGGAGAGTGCGGTTGAGATTCTCATCCAGTGGCGCCAAAGGTGTTGGATTACTCCGGGTCATACACCTCCCTGCACACACTCTCAAGACAACCACATATCGTCTAACACAAGCAAGATTCACAAACACAAAAGCAAAAAGTAAAAGTTAGATTAACACCAAACAATCTTTTCAAAATAATGAACTGTTTGTTCCCCGGCAACGGCGCCAAAAACTTGACTCGTCCCGAATATCACAATAAAACTCCCAATTAAGGCCCAAGTATAAACCTCCATTGGGTACAATACAGGGCAAGTATGTTTAAATGTCAACCTGGGCCGGTTCATGTACCCCTACTTTGATTGTTTGTAACATTATCTAGCGAATAGTTTTTTGTTGAAAACAACGATCTACAACTAAAACTTTTCGAAAAATAAATGAATTTGACACTAATTGACAAGGCTTCACTAGGGTGTTTCTCCCCCTAGCTAGCAATTATGACTTGACGGATCGAATAGACGTGTGTGGCAAGGTGGTTGTAAACTGTAGGGAAGTGCAACAATTAGCCAAACGCCACTCTCTCGATCTCTAGGTCAAGGAAATTCTATTCAAGCCACCAAAGTAGCTCTCTTGACCTATTGACTAAGGGTTGTCAAGACTTCACCCTCAAATTGGAGTTCGGACGGCCAAATTACAACCAACCTTATTTGCTAATACAAACAAAGAGGGTTGCCCTACATTAACCTAGATAGGAGACAAGATTTGTCTAAGAAAACCCAGCTTTACAAGCCTCTTTCAAAGAAAGGGGGTTTTCTCTCTACCTAGGTTAGAATGGCAAATAGATTGATAGGCAAACACACAACACAATCTTTTCATGAAAATACCTCCAAATTCACATTAAAACACATCCACACACAAATCATTCGATTCATACAAACATTCACATAATTGTAGCTAGGGTTTACAAACACCCAAGTGAAATAAGGGACTACTCCATGCTAGGAGAAGGTAAAACACAAGAGAAAAGAAGGAAAACAATCATGGAGATGCTAGCATGTTGAAGAGATCCTCCTTTGGGGAAGGAATTTCCAATCCTTGCTTGAAGATGAAACCCTAATTTTTTTCTCTTATTTGGTTCGCCACTTTCTCACTTTAGAAATCTGAAGAAGTTTCTCACACTAGGTCTCTCCCTTTTCTCCTTCAGCTCAAGCCTCCTTTTATACCCATATCAGGCTTAGATCACGGTCCCAGTTCACGGTCGTGAATTGAAAGCACTGACCGTGATCTCAAGTCAAAACGCGTCACATCACTTAGTCGAGTTCAAGGGCAATGGCCTGAGTTCACTATATTACGACCGTGAACTGACTTGAGTTGAGTGAGACTGAAAAATGCTTTGGACGCCTGGCGTTTCATGGCTAGCGGCTCGAGTTCACGGTCTTAGTGACCGTGAACTCACAGCTTCCATCGTTATTTGCTGCTGCTTCCACCCTTTGACCTGATTTTTCGCCCTTTCGCCCAACTTTCGACTCTAGGGTTGGTTCCACCTGCTATAGACAGAAATGCACAAAATCTAGACAAAAACTCAGCGTAAAACCAAACCTCCCGGAGTAAAAATGCCTCAAACGACTAAGGAAACTGGGGGTAAAAAGTGTACAATTGAGCCCGAATCATGTTGCAACTAAACCACATAAGTCGACTTCCCGTTGCACCGTTATATTTTTCATCCTTAAACTTAACGGTGGATATCAAATTGAAGTTTTTCACCTTAATTTGCACCATACTATTTTTCTTTCTCTTTCTTTCTCTCCACAAAATAAATAGTGTTTATAAAAATGGAGGATTAAATAAATTCGATCATAATAGCTCTTTGAAATTCTTCTCTTGCTCTGTGGCTGCCGATCTTCTTGTAAAATTATTTATAGAGTTGGAGATGGGGGCTTTGGCTGCGAACTTCGGTCGAAAAACTGAGTTTCGCCTCGAAAGTCTTTCTTCAACAGAACACTAGTAAATATAAATTCACCTAGAATTCCCTCGTTACTTCTCTTTTTGTCGCTCGATTTTACTGCTTAAGACATGTTTCTTAATTATTTTTCACTCATCCTGTTTAAAGCATCTCTGTGTATTTAATCTCAATATGCTTCTTTAATTTTTATCTGAAATGAATTTAAACAATCAATGCGAGGGGCACCCAAAAAACTTTCCTCCGTAAGAAAAGCCTATACTGAGATGCCAATAATGCAAAACATATTATAAACAAAAAAAAAGAATAAAAATTGCATTTCATATTCCACATAAATTTCATAAATTTACTTTATTTGGAAGGAAGTCAAAGTTTAATTCAATTAGAACCAAAAAAATAAAACAATTGTAAACTTATGCGAAAAAATTCAATTTGATATCTAGCATTAAGTTTAAGTATGAAAAATATAACGGTACAACCGGAAGTCGACTTATGTGGTTTAGTTGCAACTAAAAAACCTTAAGTGATTAGTATGCAACGAAATCAATAATTACATGGTACTACAATTAACTCTGGGTATTGATTCTAGTAGGTTGTAAAAACAGTACATATCAATATCAATGATTAACAAACAAGCAAACACTATGATGACCATTGAACGGACAGGCATCGTAATTTCTTACCCCGACAATAGAAGAATGAGACGCGCACAGAACTAGGCCACCAGTTTCTACCCAAAAAAAAAAAAAAGAACTAGGCCACCAGAAACAACTTACATCGACAGAATAGGAAGTGATGATGTGAAGCGAAGCATTTGCATAGCCATCACGAGCAATGAATGAACCAACCAACCAACCACAACCGTGAAGCAAGCAATTTAATGGAACAAAAACAACAATAAATTGCAATTGCTGATTCGAAGGTATAGATACCAAACAAACTAACAAAACAAATAACAGAAGTAGGCATTCACCCACCCACAGGCCACAACATAACAAAACAGGAGAAGTCGTCCATCCTCTACTAACTAACTAATATCAACCTGAACTGGAATTGACATCACATGGTATATCTTCTCAGCGGATTTCCTCTCCGACGCAGAGCGCCGCGTTCTAAAGTAGCACATGATTTATTACAAGAGGATTTCGGCACCTCGAAAACGTAACTAACTGTAATCCATCCACAACCACAAAGCTGTCATCAACTGCTTGAGCAAGAACATGCGTTTTCAGACCAGCACAGAGGCACAACTGATTAGTTGCACTTATTTGCATTGGTTTCATAGCATACAAACCATTCTAGAAGCCTAGAACCAATCGAAAAACAAAATCAGTAACGCCACAATCTAACCATACAAAAGAACCGCAGAACATCAGAGAGCCTTCTGTACATGAATGGAGAAGCCAGCTCCACCAATTTCAATCTCGGTCCCAGGAACTTGTGATAAAAAGTCTTTGAAATGGGATAGAAGCCTTGATTAACAACAGTTTTAAGTACTGAGCCAATCTACATACTCTCTTCTCTCCCTCCCTCTCTACATCTTTCATTTCCTTGTATATTACAATTACAACTGAACAACCAACCCGTCTTTTGCTTCTAAATCCAACACTCTCCCTGCTATCTGAAACCTGAATTTACCCTATACAACATACTTCGCCAGATGGGCAGCCCTGCCTTCTAGTGCCACCAAAAACACAAGTTAATAAACAAACCACCAAAACTATAATATTCAACTGCTTCCCCACTAGGTTCCTGCTATTTTGAACAAACATAGACAAAGAATTGGATGCTGAGGTTAGTCAAAAATCACCCTTTGTACACACTGGTTTTCCTTGTCCCAGTCGGTGGTCAGTAGGGAACTTCCTCCATGCCTTTACACTTACTTCTACACACCCGTCCGTCTGTCCTTCCATCCATTCATCCGCTCTGGTGCTCACCAAAAAGCTTGTGCCGAACGAACGATGAAACCGACAAGCAAAACATAAGTTTCACTTGTACACCCTTGTTAAGGAGGCTTGACTGGACCATCCCACCTACAAAATTGCCTGACGCCTTTCAGTGGCCCAACTTCCACCCAGTCCATCCCACAAACCGCAGACCACCTCTGCTGCTCCACTCTTGTTGTAACCAGCTCATCGAGCAGAGGTTTCCTTGTTCCTTTCCCCCCAAAAGATCGCCGATCATTTTCACTCGACCAAATGCTTCCCCTCTGGGTCAACCCTCCTTGTGGTGCCTCGTTTTTGTTCACGTCGTGTTTGTTATGCAATTTTATCTCTTCACGTGGTGCTGTTGGGGGGGAGGGGGGTGGATAGGACAGTTTCATGGTAGGAGTGGTCAGTCGACTCCCGACCACAGCCACTATGTGTCACTACTTTTCTTTGGAGTCTTTGCCTTATCCATTTCCGCATCCTTACTGGCTTTCTTTTTAGCTGCTTCAGCCTCCTTCAAGTTCTCTTCATGTGCTTTCCGAAACAACCTCACAAAATTCAAGAGGGTTGCAGTAACTGCATTTTTGCATCCAAGACAGTTACATGTCAATCGGATTTTATCCCCAACACAAATATTAACAGTGACTAAAAAGCATTATGACGTCATGAATTTCTGTACTTCTATTTCCTCTTTCCATGAACTTCAAAATTGCTTACCTTGCTCAAACGGATAGCGTGCAGGATCTTCACCAAAGTATAATGCAAGTGCATCTGCATTTCTACCCTGCCAGCACATGACGATTGCAATATAGCATCACTGCAGAGTTTTTTTTTTTAAAGACACCGGTTGATAAAATATTGGAGGCACACGAAGTTGACAAGCTCACCACTACAGAATATAAATTTGTCACAGAAGCCACCTCTGCCTCGGCACCAGATATGAACTCTTTCAATGCCTACAACAAATATTAATATTTTAGCGAAACCCACAGCAAATTCAAAAAAACAAGCCAAGTATGCATGAAAGATAAAACTCGCCGCCACCTTTCCAGGAACAGTTGAACAACAAAGTATTTTCAAACAAGTTTCCCAAGAGCAGCGTAATATCTGATGGATATTTTTTTATATTTAATTACATACCAAGCGAAACAGAAATCCTATATCATGCAACAGAATATACAATTAGCATTGCAAACTGTATCAGAAAATTCAATCCAGCTAGACATAACACAGACACAAAAGCATTGAGTATTGCACCTTTCTGAAGACCTCGGACACGGGGCCGTCATTTGCTGATGCTGTATTCTCCTGCTTTACCTTTTCCAATCCCTTGATGATAGCTTGCATTTCCTCTGCTAATGACTTCAATTGTATCTGCATGCAGCAACTTCCAGTTCAGAAGAAATTCTGACTATGATACTTAACAGTTTGCAACGAACAATAGGTCGGCACCTTTGAGGCAGTTTCAAGGCTAACCAGATCTAGGTGAAAATCTAAAAGTGGCGGCGACTTTGCAGCAAATACCTGAGAAGAAGATTAAATAAACAAGAGTATAAGAAACAAGTAGTTCCTATCCCGCCCCACTAATCTAGATCACTACTAAATACAGTATCAATGTTTTCTGAACATAGAAAGCGTTGAAATTTCAGAATTAGCAGTCTTGTCGTCATGGATCACTCCTACAGAATACTCTTTTTTAAAAGAAAGCAAATGCAAGAGAATTAAGAAGAGAAGACTTGATAGGAATGGCAAGAAAGGATCAGCCGGACATCAAGTGTGAAACAGAAAAGTAAGTCATAAAAGAAATTCTCAACTGTGAATAGTTATGGCTCTATCGCAAATAGGGGGAAACCCTAATTAGTAATGGCAACTAAGGAATCGGCACCTCAACTGTGAAACAAACAAAAAAAATCTAGGTCCTTCAGACAATTCTCACGAAGCCAATTGCAACTTTAAGATAGCAAAGCATCCTCGTCATCCTGTTACACGTCTATGAAACAAATGAGTCATTTCTAAGTTTCCTTCAAAACATGAAGAAGCTAAATAGAGATGGTGCTCCAGAGAGCAACACAACATCCTACAATGAGAAGAAAAGCTGCATCGACATGGTTCGCTAGTACTCAACCAAAGACACTTTGCCAATACAGAGGCAACTTAGAGACCACAGACCAGAGACCACTTTGGATGGTAAATACCATCCTATAATCATACGATGAACCATCAACAACTGGCCCAATATTAAGCTGATATTTCAGCTCTCTGGCTTTCACTCTAATCCTCACAGTTGTACCAAAGGTTTCCGAAGATAGATTCAATTCTTTTCATATTGGCAAAAGTCAAATAAAACAAATGAAAAATGTGAACCTAAACATCAAAGATAATTTAAGCTTAGAATTGACTGCGATAATCAAACCAATCATAAATGGATGACATATATTCATGACATATGCACGCGCAAGTTGGAATGCAGAACTTGAAAGCCTACTGTTTTAGGTGTAGCCATTTGGACTCTTAGAATTTGAAAAGCTTTAACCTTTGATCTCATACTTAGTAAGCATTTCTTTGATGCCCAGCATGCCACGTGCTAAAGAATTCTTGTATTGCCCGTTACTTCGACTCTCAAATCCATCACTTCTCCTTTCTTGTTTAACCATGCATCAGTTATGTGAGGCTTAACCCCTCTCCTTTCATGTTCTACAATGCATATCAGTTATTTGAGGCTTTACGCAGCCGGGATTGACAGGCAAAAGACAGGGTTCATAATAGACAACATGTGACAAAGACATACTTATCACGAATGGATCGAACCCGCAGAAATGAATTCGACAGAATATTTTTTAGAGCGACATGGAAAGGATAATGACATAATACAAAAATGGCATAATTTTCAAAACCATATTGTAAGAACTTGTTCGTTGTAACATGGTACAGGGACTACAAATGCCACTCATGTGGTATATGAATTATGACTCGACTTTAAACTATTTAACAAGAACAGAACATAGCAAAAATAAATAACTAAAGTAACACCCATACCTTGCATAGGTAATGCATAAGTGTCATTTTGCTGTTCGCAGCTCGGGTATCAGTAAGTTTCAGAAGACTGTCCAACTTGAATCCAACTGCAGCACCTAAAAAAGTAGAAATTACCCAAACATCACATCATGTGCACGAAGCAGTTTTCTAAGGGTTTCAATATGGCACCACAAACCAAAGCCACCAACACAATTCAAGGTTCAAGTAAGAAATATCATCAGAGCAACTCTTATAGCAAATTTAATTATATACACAACGAGTCAACCATGGTCAGCTGCTACTGAGCCATTAAACCTGTCTTCCACAAACAGGACCTCTTGATTCCCCATGCTAAAGACACGAATCAAAACAGGACCAAGAAAACAAAAACGCTCAATATAATTTGAGACACTGGCCATTTCTATAAAATGTCACAATGCAACAGATTAATCATTAATTACAAAGTATGAACATATCTTTTTAGTAATTTTCTTGTCCCCTTACAGGACCACGACACATTAAGTATGGCTCAATAGCTCCACGGAAAATTTAAAAGCAATGAGCTACATAAACCTGGCATTTAGAAGCCCTGCTTCCCTTCACTACACAAGATATCAAGATAAGCCTAGGTGAAATTGATTGTGAACCTTGGCCAAAGCAAAAGAATCACAATACTCATTATGAAATCAAGGAACATCAGGAAGTCACAACAGTTACTTACCCCGTGCAGTTCCTTGGTTCAAGGTGTTCCCCAAATAGAGAATCTTCTTCATGATTTCCTTCAGTTTCAGGGAATTTTTTACCTAATGAAAAATAATAATAAGGCACCCTAAGTGAAAAACAATACATAAAGCTGCAGGAAATGCTTCACCGTCAAATTTCATTGTACCTCATGACACGCAGAGTTCACCGTGTTTAAGCTCTTCTTAAATTCTGAAATCTGCGAAAGACACCGAGTATAAGACACGCTGATAGTCCTTGAAAATAAGACCCAAAATAAAGCAGCCTACATCAAAGATTATTTATTAAATTATCAGACTAACAATGCAGATGCGTCCAGACCTGAGCACTGAACTGGATCTTGAATGAAAAAACTCTTAGTTTTGATTCTACACGTGGTACTTTCATTAGCTCCAGGAAGTACTGAAAATTAACAGAAGGACAGTACATGACATTGTATATTCTGTTAGAAGAAGTCTAAGGGAATAACATAAAGAAACTGACAATAAAAGAGAAGTGAATAACTTCCAAGACAACCCGGTATAGGCGTCAAAGAAATTAAATAAAATAAAAATAGCCATCAAGATTTACTGGAGGAACTAAGATGTAAACAGACAATATCCATGCTGCTCAAGGCAAGACAGCAACTGATTCTTTAAATTTACTGTTGTACATAGCATAAAGGAGTTGTTTCAACACTTCAATGACTGGCTTAAGGCCTAACCTGAGTTCAAAACACTTCACCATACATCATGTCTATAGTTTGCTACTGCTATATCAAAACTTTCATGTCGTTAATAAGTTTATTAACCTTCGTAAACATTAGGCATGTGTTCCTTCTTACGCATCCAATTAAGACATATGCTGCTGTGAGTTCATCCATAGCTCCAGAGGCAGAACTCAATTCATTACTTCAGGCACCTCACTTGACCTCCAAAAACTAGCTTTACACTCCAAGGAACCAAGTCAAAAGCCACACCTAAGACCTCTCTGTACTTCTCAACGAAGTTCTAAACTCATTACAATAGGTATTAACAGTGATAGGAAACTTTATTACCACGAGAGATGCAGGTCAATTACATTAGTTTTGAACAATTTGTATCAACGTGCCAGCTTACTTTGCCCACATATTTGCAGGAAGTCTCAATTCACTAGACAGCACAATTAGCCCCAATTGTTTTTGAAAGGAAAAGGTCTATCGTCGTGTAAGATAACAGTGTCATCAGTCATTCAGATAGCCAGGCCACAGGTTAAGAAGTTCAACTGATGCAGCAAGGAGCTCATAAAATACAAGTACAAGCAAGAACAAATAGTGCCTTGATGTTGAATCTCATATAATAAGTGCCACAATAGCATTTAGAGATGAATTTTATACCTGTTCACACTTTCCCAAGTTGTCCTTGTCACCAGTGTAGTTCTGTAATTATACAATGAATAAAATGACAGAAAGGGATGAAAGTTAGGGATCAATGATATAAAAATGGACTATATAAGTACTAACCGAAGGTTATAAAGAATGTACTCAGCTGCACCTTGAGTTGCTCCATCTCTTCTTTGGTTGGGCAGAACTTTATAAGATTGTCCACTTGATCAACATCTAGAACTGACTCATCCATGGCAAGTACTGCAGCCTAAAAGATATAAGGGTAGAAGGTCAGGTCACTAACTACAAATAACAGAGGACCTTAAACCAGAGGTGTCACTACTTAACGCAGAAAACTAAAGAATAAATCACTAGAGCCATCACTATAGCATTGTGAAATATAATTTTCCCCATCATGTCAACTAAATTCAAGAGCAAGTCCTAATTAAAATGCACATGATTATAAGGGAACCAAGAAGACATCATATAGAATTCTCATGAAGGCTGAACAAGTCAATCAGTGGATTCCTCATTAAAGAATATTACAAACTGAAAGTAACCAGGCACCCATCTTAGTCATGCATTAATCCAATTTATCGAACTAGAGTATCTCAACCTCAAATTATAGCAAGGAGGATTTTACATATGCGTACTAACCAACACTTTCTAACCACAGACATCCAACTCATATAAAACCTTCATATTGTCCTGGTCAACGAAAAAATTGCAAACAAATAAAGAATATTTAGATGTGAACATACCATCATATCAGAGAGAGGCATTTTAACTTTCGTAAGCATAATTTCAGTATTGTTTGCCCTCCTCAAATCAATCTGCAGCATAAAGATAAGATACCAATGTTAAAGTGTAGGATTGCCACATTCTGTAACTCAGAGCAAATAATGATCTAAGATTTAACCACCAATAGAGAGCAAGGCATCAAGAAAGCAGGCCTACGAGATAAGACATGTAATGAGGATAATGATAAATTTATGCCATAAGGTACATGATCGTGCGATACTATCACATTTTGTCTACATTATCACATGAATTTAGCTGTAACAGGTACCATGTCCAGTAAAACTAATAAGCAACTGGAGCTCCTTGCAGCAACTTGTAAATATAGAGAGAAAGTAAGGCATTTTCAACTTTATCTCAACACCTAACTGTGACTGTTCCCCTACACGTGCATACGTTATCATAATATACAGTAAAAAGTCCATAGGTTTCTTACAACTTCAAGATGTGCACCCAAAGAACTTAGACTACTAGGGAGAAGATCAAGAAAATCATACAGGCCAGGGGAGTAGAAAACTAAACGTAACGAACTAGAAAATCATTGGGGTATTTTAAAATGGAATTCTATTACCAGGTGAACTTTGTCAGGTTTTGATCCAGCGGACTTCTTTTTTCCACCTTTACTGGAGTCAGCAGGTTTTGGAACTATTGCAGAAAAAAGGGTCTCTATCTCTGACACATCAAATTCTGGTGCACTGTTACATCATGATACAAGGTCATCAATCCCAGAGAGCGATATATGACATCATGCTATATATTCCAAAAGGCAAGCCAATTTAATGCTCAGAGATTACTGTACGTTTGGGACTCCCCGTGCCTTTGTAGTTCTTCCCACAAACTTCCTTGTATTGCCCTTGTTACCTTGCTCCAATGCAATGGCTTCAGTGAAGATCTTCGAGTTGCCATAGTAGCACCCACTCCACGCCCTCGTCCTCTACCTCTTGCATCAGCAGCAGCTCCTTTGGCACCTAAGGGTGGTGGTGGGGGTGGCCCAACTCCCGGAGGACCAGGAACACTTCCTCCAGGAGGAGGGGGTGGAGGAGGCCCTCGGCCCCCTAGAAGAGGAGGAGGAGGAGGAGGAGGTCCACGCCCACCACCTGGAGGGGGTGGTGGAGGTGGTGCCCCCCGCATTAGAGGAGGGGGCAGGGTTGGTGCTCCAATCATTGGAGGAGGTGGAGGTGGTGTTGGGGCTCCAGGCAAAGGTGGTGGTGGAGGTGCTGCTCGTGATCCATTGAAAGGTGGTGGTGCAGGTGGCGCTGGTACTCCATGAAAAGTAGGTGGTGGTGGAGGTGGTGCTGGGGCTCCAGGCAAAGGTGGTGGTGGAGGTGCTGCTCGTGCTCCACTGAAAGGTGGTGGTGCAGGTGGTGCTGGTACTCCATGAAAAGGAGGTGGTGGTGGAGGTGGAGGAGCCCCACTGACTGATGAAGGAGGAGGAGGAGGAGGCGGTGGTAGAAAAGCCCCCCTAACTGATGGAGGAGGTGGTGGTAGAGGAGCCCCACATACTGATGGTGGTGGGGGAGGAGGGGGAGGAGGTGGAGGTGGAGGTGGTGTAGGAGCTCCCAATTTAGTAGGTGTCAGTGGCGGTGGCGGCGGCGACGGAGGTGGAGGTCCACTTCTTGAAAATGATGGTGATGCAAGTGGAGAACCTCGACTTTTCATGGCTATAGGAGGCGGTGGTGGTGGTGGTGGCGGCGGCGGTGGCGATGATGGGATGCAATGAACATCCTGCAAATGAATAAAGGGAGGTGGTGGACTGCAATGAGCAACATTCTGCAACTGGCTAAAGGGAGGTGGCAATGGGGGCGGCGGTGGAGGGGGCGGCAATGTTGAAGACAAAAAACATTGAGAAACCACTTGGGAAGGAGGAGGTGGTGGAGGTGGTGGAGGTGGTGGAGGTGGTGACGATGGTGGTGTAGAAGTAAACCCCCAGGAGAGACCAGGAGGTGGTGGAGGCGGAGGCGGAGGTGGAGGCGGAGGCGGAGGCGGAGGCAGTTGCAGTGCTGTAGGAGCAGTTTCTGTTGGCACGTGTGGAGGTGGTGGTGGTGGTGGTGGTGTTGTGGAAGGCGTACCATGTGCCAATGGAAGAGAAGGTGAACCAAGGATTCCAACATCTGGTTGTGAAGTAGTTAATGAGGTACCATAGCTATAATGGAATTGGGGAGGTGGTGGTGGAGGAGGCGGAGGAGGAGCTCTAGTAGTAAGGCAAATTGAAGTATTTACAGTCACGGATTTCCAAGGAAATGGAGGGGGTGGAGGGGGCAATGTTATCCCAATGTTATGTCCATTGCTGGCAATGGAAGGGGGATGAGGAGGAGTGCACTGTGAGGTTGCATTTTGTGATACCATCTCAACTTTCAGCTTGCTTGATTGCATGTAAGGCGGTGGAGGAGGTGGAGGTGGTGGTGGTGATGGGATGGAGGACAGAGATGAGGGTAGCTTCAAAACTGCTTTGGCAACTGAAGATGATGGTGCTGTGGATCGAGGTATGGGTGGTGCAGGAGGTACATGGATGGATGTTGTCTGCTCTTGATTATCAGTGGACGGAGAGAACAACTTGCTCGAATCTGAATCCAAGTGAGCAGAAGCAGTAGAAGATGACTTTTTGTTGGCACCATCACTGGACTCTTCACGAACCCAAGGTAGAGAAAAATCAGGCGGTGCACTATTATACCTTGATGGTGGATGGGTAACATTCACCGGACTGCTCACGAGACCTTTGCTAGGTACAAGCCACAGAGGCGATATTTCGGGCTTCATTCGTCTTAAGTTGTCACCCAGATTTTCAAACTGTTTCTTCTGCTTGGTACGCATTGTCTCTGGAGATTTGCTAGCAAGAGAAAGCCATGGAGAAAGTGGACCTGGCTTCACATGTATTTCTCTATCAAGTTCATTCTGATTCTCTTGTAAGACACTTGTTTCTACCTTCATATTTGGACTGCTTGCTATATCACCACCTTTATCCTCAGTCACTTTGAAATCTCCATCTGCTTCATAAGTGATTACCTTTGTATTGTCATTTACAGGGATATCAGATATGGCATTTGCAGGACCAAACTTTATATTCCCATTATCGACAGTAATGTCTTTCACTGCTTCAAGATCAGAAACCTCCTTGTCATCCAACCGGTATTTCACATCATCTACAGCAATATCCTTCACAGGATCAACATTAGAACTAAGCTCCCCACCACGCTTGTGGTTCACATCATCACCCCTACAATCTTGGAAAGACGGCACTTCCACATCCTCTTTCACAACTTCTGTATGCTCTAAATGAGATGCCTTCTGGGTTATATGAGTATCAAAGTTCCCTTTTGATTCTGGCGCCTCCACTGTGAAGATCTCTTCCACCTCATAAAATTCTTCAGGTGAAGCACTTTCTAAATCATTCAAATCCTCACCAGTCAAAACTGTGGTGAGAGATGGGAGAACAGTGTCTGCATCGGCAAAAAGTACCTGATCCAAATACGAGTTCGTATTCAAACTCCCATAGCAACTAAAAATACATGACCCAGAGAAAGATAGCAGTAACATACCTCTGCTTTGAAGTCCCGTGAAAATTGATCCTTGGCATCCCACAAAATATCAATGTCATCACGGTTCAAAATCAAAATATTTGCTCGCACAAATGCTGTATGGAACATCAGTCTGAAGATCATCTGCTCATGCAAGAGGTCTTCGTCCAAGTGGATACACTCAACGACAACATCACCTTGTACACGGCATCTAAGATCTATTTTCACAAGCATACTCTCTTCCTGCCGTTGAAATTCATTATATAATCAACTCTTTGACGTTTACATATTCATCTTTCAAAATTTAATTAGATGACTGGGCATAATACCTGTGCATACTGGCGTATGTGTCTTTTAGTCTTCGAAGTTGAATACAAAAGCTTAGACGTTCTATTGGCTGGTTTTGAAGGATCCTGGCCATAAACACGCACAACCGGCCTGCAACTTGTTCCTCCTTCAAAGAGTGGAAGGGTTCTAAGCATCAAACAGTCGAGAATTAAGGGTGTGTCAGAAGGAGGCCAATCAACCCCAAAATTCCTTCTAGAAATATACTGAAGATATCTGAGCTGGGAAGGGTATGGATTTAAAGCAGATAAAACATGTAGAAGTTCCTTAGGAGCTTGCTTGTAGACCGCTTCAAGAGTCTTGTGCTCCCCACTATACTGCCCCCGATATAGCAAAAGACCGGCAAGCATGAAAGCAAGCACAGGCCATCCTCCTCTTTCGCAATGCATTAACAACACATTTTGTTGCCCCTCCAATGACAACCAGCTTTCACTAGATCGAAGGAAATGATGAACCATCTCCAGAGGCAATAATGGACACCCTTCATATTGACGAGGGTAATCCATAACTGTCATGTCATACTGTGTTAAGATGTCTGAAAGTTGGCTCCGTCTATCTCCCTCTCGAAAATTAAACACCATAAATGAGGCATCGGGAAAGTGGTCCTGCAGCTGTGCTACAATGCCACCTAAGTAGAGCTTGTACTCATCCTCTTCCATGACATTGGTGGAGAAGCAACAGTCGAAAACTGCAAAAAAGGGAGGAAATGGCGGGAGAGGAGTAAAGGCTGGGAATTAAAGAAAGCTCTCTCAAATAAGTCAACCAATCTAATAGCAGGACATTGAATATCCAGCAGCATTCAAATGCCGATTCTCGCTTAATTCTACAACCCACAAATTAAGAAAGTGAACTCAGTTCTGTTCTTCATCGAGGTATAATAAGGTTCATGTATGGCTCTCAGAACCCCGAAGATACTGAATTCCCCAACATTTACCCCATTGGGTGCTACAAGGATAAGAATAGAAGCAAGAAGATGGTCCGAAATTCAGATCACATTGTCTCAGAACAGCAACGGAACTTCAAATTTGAGCTACAGAATTCCATGAACCCTAATCATAAAACCTATCAAGCAGAAACCCTTTTTCCCATCAACGGCAAAATAAAGAGAAGAATAATTTGCAGGAACAAAGAATCAGCAAAATCAACGACAACAATCTATCACATTCCAGGGTGCAAGCAAAGAGAATGCGGTAATACGAAAGAAGACAAGTTCTGGCGGGTATGGTTGGGGGCAAAAGGAAAAGCAGGGGAAGGAGGTACCGTAAACCCTGTCGGAGATCTCCAGAAGCCGATCCGGTGGCTTCCGGTAGAAGAAGCGTCTGAACAGCGCCATTAGATGGCGCTGTTTCTACGGTGGCTGGATCCAAACCGGTCGATTTCTATAATCACCCCGTCTTTCTTTTCCGGCGACAAAATTATAAACCCAAAAGAGGGATGAACGCAGATCCCCTCAAGTTTTCTCGTTGAGCTAAAATCGAAAAGGCTTGCAAAAATTCAGGCCGCCGCAGGCAAACGGCACTGGCGAATGCCGTCGGTAGGCAATTGGAGCGATGGTGAAGAATTGAATCGGGAAAGAATCTGTTGAAGTGAAAGTGACGGAGTGAAAGGATCAAAGGGAAATGAGGGAGAAGAGAAGTGTTTCGCGAAAGAGGGAAATTATTGGAAATGAGATTATAATTAAGGGAAGAAATGGAGAGAAGACGGAGAGAGAAAAAGGGGGAGAGAGAAGCGTAGTGGACTGATCTGAAAGAAAAGAGAGAGTAAACGGAGACAGGAACTCCCCTTCAGAAGAGAAGAGAAGAAATTGAAAAGGGGAAGTTGTCGTTCTTCCGCCGCCGCCTCCTTCCTTCTCCTTCCTCCGCCTTCTCCTCCGCCTCCGTCGTCTTCTTCTTCCTTGTTTTGTTGTAATTTTTTGTGTTTACTTTTTCTCTTTCGTTTCTGTTGGGCGTTGTTTCTTTTCTCTTTCTTTCTTTTTTTCTTTTCAGACAGACAAAGGCCAGACGGAGAAGGAGGAGAGAGGGAGAGAGAAAGGAGGGGAAATTTTTTCTCTCTGTTTTTTTTTTTCTGTTTCAATTCAATAACCAAATGACATGAGAGAAGAAAAAAAAAGTCGGTTGAGGCTTGGGCTGGCGGGCTGGGTTGATGGATCGGCTTGAGTGTCTAAATTGTTCGGTCACTAAACATTGAGGTATATATTTTTTTATGGTTCGTGTTTTTGGGAATTGAAGTAACTATTTAATTTGATAAGTTCTCCATGAATAATATAGGAAAGCATTTAATATATTTGACTAATGAAGTTTAAAAAATGACAAACAATGTCCAACTAGACTAACATAAATACATATTTTCAAACAAAGTCATATCTATATAAAAGTGTCTGAGAAGAACAATGATAAGAGTTGTTTTAAATCACACATACGTAATCAATTTTCAGTATACGATAAATTTTTTTGGTTTTCCATTAACTTTCGTGTATTCAATTATATAATGAAACAAAGTATATATTTAGAGTGTCATTAAAAAGAAACAAACTAACTGACAGAGTCATGGTTCCATTGACTTTAGTGTATTCAATGATATAATGAAACAAAGCATGCAGATGTCCAGCTAGCAAGTTCAACTAATAGAGCAACGCATAAAAAGCTAAATCAAAGCTAAAAGAAGGCAAAAACTAAAAGCAGCATACGTAACATTTTGGGGGAAATCCACAATAATAAAAGTCATTGTATGAACACTTGATAATGATTTGAACACTTGTGATATATGAGTAGTGAAAGTTAATAAAAGTCATTGTAGCTCTTACTCAAGTTAGAAAGACTTTGATTTAATGGTAAGTAAACAATGATATGTAGTGCTTAAGAGGGAAGATGAGACCTTACATTGTTTATTAATATGCATCGTAGTTTCATAAATTTTACATCATTAAAAATTTATGTGCTGAATAGAAACCCATCCGAGTTTGGAGCCATTGTAAAATGTAAGTTATGAGGCAAATGAAAAGTCTCAAGCATCCACATGCTTGACAAATAAATCTATATTATCAAACTTAAAATCATATTTTGCATACGAAAAAAGAACAAAAAAGTAGTAATTAATGCATCAATTTGAACCTAAAATGAGAGGAATTAATATCCTACACCATCATATATAATGATATATTACATCCCAGAACATCATAAAAAAATCTATCTAAATGAAAAATATACTAAATTGAATTCAATGTAAAAGTAACGATGAAGATAGATATTATATCCACCTAAGGAATAATAAAGTAAGCCATGTTTCTTAGAGACCTCTCTCGATAGAACCACTCTATTATAAAACCCATTTCGTCAAACAATTGCATCATATAGAGTTTTAACTTAAATTTGAAGTGCTGATAATTAGTTATTTCAGCTCATGAATGAATTAATTATATCATTTGGTAAAAGAAAATAATTTATAAACTTGAGAGTTATTTCGTTTGTTGTTAAATCATTTGAACTAAAGTATGAAAGTGCTTCGGAACCGTTATTTTATTCATTATTATTAAAATTGCTATTTTTATTATAATGTCTAAGCATGTCTAGGCGAGCTAGGAGATAGACAAATGCCCAATGACCGTCGTACGCCTAACGTGCTACTAAACCTCAATAATTATACCAAACTTTGAGTGCATCTTATAATATGATCACTTCTATTTTGGTATAATTGATTACATCATGAAAGCGATCAATCAAAGAGTCTTTCTTTAAGATTTTGATAAGATGTCCCCTACTGTACAATTAGTATGAATAAATTGTAATAAGATAATCATGTATTGAATTTGGAATCGATAGCGCAAAAGATTGTACTAACTCAAGTAGAGTTTTAGCTACTCGATACTTTATATTCGCATGTCGATAGCTATTTCGAAGAGTTCGAATATTGATTGAGTTTGTTGAACTTTACCTAACAAAATTATGATATCAATTGCAAGATATTATGCTTTTTGGAGAAATTGGGAGAATATGTTGGTGATTTCAAACCTAACATGGATAGCATTGTATTTAAGTGATAAGCAACATTTATGTTTAATAGATTAGACATGAAAATATATTTAGCTTTCCCATAAGTTGGTATGAAGAAGTGAATAATTAGGAATTGAAAACTAGAAACAAAGTTGATTTAATAAATAACTGCAAATGATATTGTGAAAAAGAAAACAAATGCTTAGAGCATAGCTAGGCATGAGAGTGCTACATTAAACTCCTTAAGAGAAAGCAAGTAACCATTAATAGTTAGTTGTGGATATTGAAATAGTTAACTATGATGAATACTATATACTGGTGAATAATACTTGGATCTTAGCTTGAACATTGCATCATGCTAATAAAAATTATTTCATTAATTACATTATTGAAATAAGGTGTCGTATGTAAGTTTTGATTGTTTTTTTAGATTGTTAAAATAAATACATTTTTCATAAGACAATACATATGTTTTTTTTGCATACACAATCGTGAATTATTTGCTTGATTTGACTAAACTATCATTCAAATTGAATGATTAAACAATTTCGAATTTTAGCATAGACTGTCGAGATAATTGGTATTAATGTTTGTCATGTTTATATTTCTTGAAATGTATGGTACCAGTGTTCTTATGTTGTCATTGAACACTTCATTCAACGCTTCAAACAATGCGCAATATTCAAACCAATGATATTTGTGTTGAGATTTTAAGATTATCCTTCATTTATAAGTTAGAAAAATTTCTGAATTAATTATTAAAATATGAAATAGAAGTATCAATCACCACAAAATACTTATAGTAGACTTAGCGGGCTAACTAACCATGATAGAAAAGTACTTTGTTTTTCATAATTTTAACTTCCTATATGTTTGTATTAATAAAGTAGAACAAATGTGTCTAGTCTAATTTGTTACAATTCTTGTCTTTGGTGGAAGAGACCATGGTTCAAATCCTAGCATTGATATTTTTTTATATGAAATAAAAAATTGATTGTGTAGACGAAAATACCCTTCCTACTTTCACTCTCGTTGCACGAAATTTGAAATGGAGCAAATCAAACTCTTTAAAATGTATTATGAGTAGTGTAGATTAAAATGTTTCACATTTGTCATTCAAATATTTTATTTCATTAATGACAGTTTTTTACTAAAATGGCTAACTGCCTAATCAGCCATTTTAACTTTGGAAAAGTAAAACCCGTCCAGTTACATAATTTCCCAAGCCCAACTCGTAACTTGGCCCTTTCCAATTCGTTACCCTCCCGCTCCAAGGAGAAGAGATCTGACTCACAAAAACACAATACTTCCATAATGGCCAAATATAACCACTGCGAAAGACTGCAATAAAGTGGGTTTTGTTTAAATTGTCAACCCAGGTCCTAGGTCTAATGGTTACTCTGTGAAATTCTATAATATAGCTGTCAAATTGTGGTAAAAATGCAGAAAGGAAAGTAATAAGGAAAGCAAGTAAATTGTTCGGTTTTCAAAAGCAAGAAGGGTCGCTCGGGTATGCGCCCCCTAGCTCCTCAATTAGGTCCAAGTTGTAATTTCCTTCAGTTGTTTTACTATTGATTAAACTGCGGAAGATCCGATAATAGCTTGGAATCTTTTAAGCCGACCAAGCCTTTTTAGTCAAAATACCCAGCAAGCGACTAACCTTTACCAGAATAATAATGCTAAGACAATACACAAAGTTCTCCACTATTGGAATAAATTCCAGTCCAAATCAGTGAATTGACTGACTCTCGTAAAATCAATTCACTACTATCAATCAAAGAAGCTCTCTTAACCCAATCAGATTCTATCTATCGTGGTCAAAGCAGAAATCAAAAGAATGTGATCAAGATCCAGTTGACTCAACAAATCATGTCTCAATTAATTAAAATCAAACAATATAGCATCCAAAGGTCATTACAAACCACATATCATTTGCTTGATATTCTCAACAACCAAACCAGTTTCTGTATTCTCAAACTTTCCAGCATAGTATTCAATCATATGGAGTTTATATCTAGGATCCAAAACAACCGATACAACAAGCACAAGATGGATATTATCCCAGTACTTATCAAACTTCAGTGACATTTGACTAGCCATTCCAAAAATCACAGGATTGGGATCATGACCCCACTCATTCAGTTTAAGTCTGAGATCACAAATTTTAGGGAAGAAAAGATTGGCAGTCGGATATTTGGAACCAGAGAACAACTCAGTAATCTCAGAAAAGATTTGCAGCTTCCCAATCATAGTAGAAGCAAATTCCCATTGTTCACTAGAAGGAACAAATGTGTAATGATTGTCTCTCAAACTCAAACAAAAGAAAACATCCTTGTATGGAATA